AATGCGCCAGGCAATGGCCAGGTAGGCAACCCGCTTGCACTTGCGTCCTCTTAGAATCACCCGTGTGACCACCCGGTATACGTTTGCTGACGTCGTTGCAACCCTTGTCATTGCCACAGTGATTCGCATCTGTGTGTCAAACGAAAGAGGGAGAGATGCTTTGCAGTTTTATATTAGAACGCATCTATATAGAATGCATGCGGACCAATTGCGCAAATAGCCACAGAGCCACAATTAGGCCCGCAAACAACGTATGTCATGTGGGGCTATGGCGTACGTTGGGAAATTATGGCCGAACATCAAGATATTTTTGTTTCGTCCTACGAGGCATAAAGGGTCTAGGGCTACCTTGTATGATTTTGTAAGATATGACCCGTTGCTTCCTCGCGGGCGGCGGAGGGAAGGGGGTTGGACCGCCCCCGCCTGTGTTGCGGCGTTCGAGTCGATTGCACACAAAACTTCTGCCACACGCTAAAACCATACCCCGAAGAGACACGCCGGAGGCACACATAATCTCGCTGCACTCTCTCTGGCTCAGGTGCACATCACACACTCCACCCCGCGCGGGTTGGCGTCGTGGGAACCGTGGGAGCGAGACGTGGCACCCTCCGAAGCACCCTCCCCTCCACCACCACCCCCTGGCTATCGCGGTGCAGAGGAGGGAGGGATGGGCGCCAGTGGGTGTGGGATGGGAAGGGGTGGGGGTGGGGTAGGGGGGAATCGGAAAGAGACGTGGGATGGAACGGCTAGGGTACAATGGGGAGGGTGGCGGGGAAGCTGAACTTTTCAATAAAATGGGGAAAAGCCTTTGACACGGGCTGTTTGCGTCCTTAAAAGGCATCGAAACTCGTGACAGCACCCTGGGCTGCGTGGTAACGTATGACGATCCAGACGAAAAGTTTTTACTGATAAATCTGCCTCATTTGGATGACTATTCTCTCTTTGCGCTCGCATGCCGAAAATTTTTAATTTTGCGCCCTCCCCCCCTCCCCTTTCCTCTGGATAATTTTAATTAAGTACGAACTGGCCGCCTTTCTCCGACACGGCGCCCCGCGGTCGATTCGCGGTCCGTCAAGTGCTGCATGATGGTCATCGCAGCTTCACTGCGCGTTACAATGACTCACTTGCCCCTCGACCATGCGGAGCCGCGGTGGTCACCCAAACTGCAATAAGTCAATCGCTCTGTACGGGACGCGCACTGTCCGGCGCTGACCGGGCCATCTTATTAACCGATTCCAAAGAGTGACCAGATGGCTGGCGGAGGGCGTGCCCGCGGCAGGCCGGACCGGCCGGCCATCGACTGTTGTTGTTACTAATTGAAAAGTGCCACATCCGTTTTCGCATGGAAATCCAATGATGGTAGTTGTGGGCGCGCGATTGTTGCGTCACGTACTCGGGAGGGGATGGGGAGAGGTCACCCTTTGTGGCAGGGGGATGCTGACCATAATGATTACGGGGAAAGAGGGGGGGGGGAGGGAATGACCACATGTCCCAATTGTTCACCGCCGCTGACGGCTAACTGCCTGACACACATTACTTCGATCCACAAACCAAGGTACCCGGATACTATCTTACTACGCGCAAGCTAGTGAGCGGAGAAGATTTTGGACATTTTTAACACCACCAAAAGTTATCCAGCTGACTCGCCCACTACACACTTACCATCTATTTGCGACCTTCGTATGTAACTTCTGTAAACAATAAAAGAAATGAAATGAGAAGGAGACGGATGGAGTTGCAATCCTTTGGCGGGCAGAAACGAATTAGAAACGGAAGATACAGCTCGTCTTGAGAAACTCAAGTAGTTCGTGATGCTGTGTGTGATTGCTACCCCTGCAGGGAGGGGAGGGGGGAGTCAAGCCGTTTGTCACTTGTTCTCCTGTTGTGTGTGGGCGTCTTGCGCGGGCTTTCTTCCTCCTGGCTTGTGCCTTTTATTTCGGTTTTGGAGTTCTATATGTTAGAAGGTATTTATGTGTTATTCTTTTAACTTTTATTTGACTTTCTTCCAAGATTATTATTATGACAAAAATTACTTCACATAACGAAGACCTGTTATGTATTGCAATGGTATTAGTGGTGCAATATCAGCTACCTCACAAACACTTAGCCTTGCTTTCTTTCTACCCTGATCAGTTTTATTTTCTTCCCATGATAATTTCCTATAGACCTTCTCTGTGATTCTGTAAGGTTTATCTTTTTTCCTTCTATTCTTACGTCCATCCTCCACTTATTTTAAGGTTATTATCGTATCCACAAGTATTTCTGTGTTTTTCATTTTTTGATAATGTTTTTTACTTCCAGTTTAACTTAATTTTGTCACTAACAATGGATGATATCATTAAAAAAGAAAAGGAATCCCTTCGGCATGGGATTCAAGAAGCATATTTATGTGCGGAGTTCCTTACTAAATATGTTGAGAAAGGTATGAACGTTGCCATTTCAACAACTTCTTGTTGCTGCATGTCTCTATTTACTAATTCTTTATTTTGTACCAGGAAATGAAAGAGACACTCACTTAAAAAATTTGGAAGGACTAGTTCAAAATTATTGTTTGCTAGATTATCATCTAGATATTAGACCTGGCCTTGTGGCACGAATGTCTCAGGATGAAAACAAGAAGATTGCTCAAAAAGAGAATTCGGAGACTGCTGAATTACCAGAGGGTAACACTAACTACCAGGCGGTATGTTTTGTTTGGTTTTTCTTTTGTATTTGATTATCCTCAAGTAACATGTCATGGGCATGATGTGCTAAAATTTTTCTTTTTATGTGAACATTCAGATCCTCTGTGAGAAAGTTGCTAGTGCCATTAAAAATCATAATGTTAAGGATCATGAGAAATTGAAGGACTATACAAAGAAAGTTAAAAGATTAATTAATGTTGGTAAGTGTTGCAGGTGTCCGTACTTTTAACTTGTTTTCCAAATGTGACTTATCAACATATTTTTTATTTTTGCAGCGGATGGTACAGGAGATGATGATGATCTTATGGTAACTGAAGAATCAGAAAATCTTCTGGATCCTCTTTCAAAGACTGAGCTTGTTGATCCTGTTATCAGTATCAAATGCAGGCATCGCTTCAGTAGGAAAACTATCATGGAGCATCTTACCCATGGAAGACATGGGTCTCAGTAAGTACAGAGCTGTTCATCTTTATATTGCTATCCTGACTGCAACCTAACCAAAACCTAGTTTGAGTGTTTTGCATATTTGAACGTTACTTATTTTCTCCCCCCAGGTGTCCATATGTCGGTTGTAAAGCAAAACTAACACCAGACGATTTAGAGGATGATCTTATTGCTGCACAGATCGTAAAGAGATCACAGTATCAACGTCAGCTGCATTAATGCGTCATGTCGACTCTTTATTTTCCTACACTGTACGTTTACAATTGACTATAACCTTTGAAGTATTATTAATATCATTAAAATGCATCACCTCTTATGCCACGAATTGGTTTTCTTCATCGAGTATTTCTTGAGAAACCTCTGATGGAAAAGGGTTAGGTGGGTGGGGGGTTGTAGCAGCCGAGTAGCCGAGCCGAGTCAAGCCGCCGAGCCGAGCCGGACTGACCCGAACGGTCGTGGTGGGGGGAGGGGAAGCTTCTTGGCGGGCAGTGAGAAAAGCCGTGCCTTCAGCTGGGTCGGTATGGCGGCCCCATGGTGTAATGGTTAGCACTCAGGACTCTGAATCCTGCGATCCGAGTTCAAATCTCGGTGGGACCTTGACTTTTTTTCCCGAAATTTTCTTTTAGTAGTTCAGAAATTCATTTAATACTTTCAGGCATTGTGAGGCAACATAACAAAAATTATACAGTCAAAGTCATTTATCTTGTCTCATGGAAACAGCAAAATATCTTTAACACTTTTTTGCTAAGTAATGAGTCAAATCCACAAAAGATGTTTAATTTAAAAAGAACTTTTATTTTAAATCTCAGCCAATGAATAAACATAACAGTGCAAGGCATACACCTCAACAAATATAAACACCTTCACTTAAGCTAAATTGCACTCTCAAAAAAGATAATCAAGAGACTTCTTACACCTACAGGAAATGTCATGAACAAAATTTGCTGAAGTAAAACAAGCTTCAGTAGGCAAATGAAGAGAGAGGAAGAGAGAATGTGTAAACAAGAGAGAATAAAAACAGTTCTGATCACAGTGATGACTCTAAAACTAATTCAGAGTAAAGTTCTTTCAGCAACATACCTGCAAATTTGCATAAACTATCTACATTCTTTGAATAATCTAAAATAAGAGATGACCAAATGGGAAAATAAATGGCTTTACAGTAAGGGGAAACTTCAAAATATTATAAAAAATCTGCATCTATGCAGAATTTCACAAAAAAACAACTTTCAAACAATGAGAATACAGTAATATGACTCTTGGTGATTTCCTTGGATTGGAAAGTATATTAAATCAGATCCAAGACGATTTACTTTCTTCTGCTAACCAATCTCGGGGATTTTTAAGAACTTCCATCAGTTTGCCTTCAGCAGAATCAGCAGTCGGAGAATGCATGTACTCCCACCGCTACAAAAATAAAACATTTAAATAAGGTAAATGTGAAAATAAGTTATTTTAGAGAGAGAACTTGAAGCAATTATATTTAATGAACTTACTGCTACTAAAGGAAGAGACATGAGAATACTCTCATAACGAGCTCCAGGTGTGTACAATCCAAACTTAGTTCCCCGATCGTAGATTAGATTGAACTCTACATACCTCCCTCGACGTAGGAGTTGCCATTGTCTTTCATGATAACCATACCCATCACTTTTGTGTTTCTTAACTAAAAATTTATAAGCAAGAGTATTTAAGGTGTTATTTAATGAGACAAAATAGAATAAAGGCAAAAATAATGATTTAAGTTGTAATATCCAAACATCTAGTATCTTACCAAGGGGTAAATAAGAAGGAATGACTGCTTCTGCACATGATGTCACAAATTTAAAAGCAGCTTCTTGTGAGGGATAATCTATATCATCAAAGAATATTCCACCAACTCCTCTTCTCTCTCCTGTAAACATTATAAAACCGTGAGTGTGTTTTAATTTTAAGACACAACTAATATTGAAAGAATTATATCTGGCTGTGCGGCTGAACTTACCCCTGTGTGTAATATGGAAATAATCATCACACCACTTTTTGAACTTTGGGTAGAAAGATTTATCATGAGAATCACATGCTTTTTTGAGAGATCTGTGGAAGTGTCGAGAATCTTCCTCATTTAGGTAGTATGGTGTCAAGTCAGTACCACCACCAAACCACCACTGGAATATTATCAGTAATTAAAAGTAGATTTAAATAATTACAACAGAAACAAAAAGCAAATATGTCAATGGTGTGTAGTGATTGATAAAACTCTAGTACTATGATAGAAATACCTGTCGAGATCCATCAGATTCTTCTACTTCAAAGTACCGATAGTTGAAGTGAATTGTGGGAATCATTGGATTGCGAGGATGTATGACACAACTTACACCAGCAGCAAAAAATGGCAGGTCCCCCTCTGTCTTAAACTTTTTGCCCCTGTGTATACAGTAAAAGAATTTAACAAGGGAGTGTAAGAGAGATATGACTTCTTGATGTAAATATTCTCCTTTACCTTGCTTTCATTTGTTGAACTGCAGCAGGGGGTAATGTGCCTTTAACTACTGAAATGTTAACACCAGCCTTTTCAAAGACCTGACCATCTTGAATGATACATGTGATGCCACCTCCACCTTCTTTTCTGAGCCATCTGTCAACTTGGAATCGCGCCCCATCACTTTCCTCTGCTTCCAATGCCCGGCACAGTTCAGCCTGCAGTATGATGGATATTGTCAAGACACAAGAGTTACCGCAAAAAGTGAAATTGGAAAATATTTTCTAACCTGTATTCTCATGATAAGAAGTTCCATTTTAGTTTTCATGTCAGATGGATTTTCTTCCAAACTCTTGCGGTCCGTGACTGGTTCGGCCATAAAAACCACTTCATTTTGCCCCCAAGTCTTCTTTTTCACAGAATCAATAAACCCAAGACCGGGTAATGCTGCTAGTAGAAATCTGTAACAAATTACAATTTTTATTGAATAAGAGAAACAGATTAAATGCCTGCTTTAGAAAATGAAGTGACATACAGTCAGTTTCAACTCTCAAACAACGACTCTTTTGATGAATAACACTAGTGTTTTAAAGACCGAATGGATGATAGTTAAACGGATTCTTAGAGCTGCTATGACTTTTTGTTACTAATTATTCATGTTTTAGTGGAAATTAAGCATTTACAAACATGTCGTAATCTGATGAGTACCAATTGGTCTTTTGATTACTTTTTTATAACACTAAAAGAGGCTTCAAATTGTTGAATGGAGATCATGAATGCCATAATTATGTCGAGGGCTGAAACATATATCTTGAAATGACAACATAATAGTAAACATGGACGACTAACCTCGCTTTAATTCTTTTCCCTCGTACGCCATGGTTGTACAAGGTAACGATCCCGAACTCATGAAAGTGTCGACGAAAAGCTTTGAAGAACATATTGGAAATTTTCGTACCACTCAACAGTTCCCTCTAAACAGTTTTGAATGCAGTGTTTGCAAGTGGTTCACAGATGGCAAACGTAAGATAAAACCACCGCTCACTGCTCCCTCTACCTCCCCTCCTCTCCCCCTCCCCCCTCCCGCAACCGGCTGATTGGATCGCCTACGAG